ATGTGTGGTCAGTAAATGAATATCGACCTGTCTTTTATAACAATTGTTTTGCCCGTGAGATTTTAAATGTACTAATTATACAAAACTGAATGTCACAGCAACATTTTATTCACATATTGAAAACATATTTGAATACATGACAACGCTTTAAATATGTGCTTAAACAATCTTTTTATTTTTTTCTTACATTTATATGTTTCCAATTATTTGATAAGAAAATTATATTTGTTGTATCTTATTTTGCAATACATTGACTTTAATAACAATCTATCTTCAATAAATTCATCATCTGAATTTTTCTTACGGGGGCAAAAAGTATCTATCTATCTATCAGTAGGGCATATTTATGTTAGATAAGGGGAAGAGATCCAGTCCTAGATGCGACTGAACTTCATAAAGCTACAAAGCCAAAAACCTGTGACAAACCCATCCTTCACAAAAGCAGCTGAATAACTCTATAATGTAAATATCTGTCCCATCAATGAATCAATCTAGAGTTTGCGATTTCATCCGAGGCCATAATTTGCAAACCTGCAGTCACCATCGCCTTCATTCCCAAACAGCAGCCCACCCACAATTAAATAATCAATCAAAGTAATCAATGGCAGGATCAGCAGCAAAGTGGCCATCTTCAGTCGTCCTTTAAACCGTTGTGATGTTCGCAGGAGAAGAGGCGGAGAACTAGCGTGCTTCTCCAAACACTAATCTTATCAGATAGGAGGCGAGCCTTCGAGGAATTTGTTTTTCCAGAGTGTTTGTGCCGGTGATGAAGAGGAGGGGCACCACTTGGCCTTGGTCTCCGGAGTGCGCTCCACCAGAGAGTTTACGGTTTCCTCCAGTGATGGAGTGTGCGAGTCCTGTTTTGGGAGACCAGCTCAAGACTGATGACGTGCGTTTGTTTGCTGAGGGTCGGATCAGATGTTTGATGTTGTGTTTCTTAAGGCTGAAATATACATTATATGTGTCTATTTGTGGGTGTTTCGTGCTATCTGGTGTAAGCTGAGTAACTTATTTGTGCTGTGAAATTGGCAAAGGTATTTGAGGTGCGGCTTGCGGCTCTAACTCGTTTCCACCTTTGGCACATCACTAGTATTCAGCAAATTTGGGGCAGGCATGTTCACAGATTTAGAATGACTTTTTTAAAGCAAAGCAAAGTCCTCAAACTCTCAGCACTTGGGGAGCGCTTTGGGATGAGAAAATAAAATGTTTGAACAACCTGTTTTTGCCATAATACTGTACACTTTTGAAAGGGCATTCAATCTTATAGTAGTAGTTAATAATAAGATATAATCTGATTTTTAAATGTCAGTGTTGAAAACACAATACAATTATTATTCACAATCTAGAATATACATTTGAATAAAATGTAAGACTTTGTCTTCTTACTTTAATTACTTAATTTGATATAAATCAGGTTTATGCACATTTAGGTTTTTTGATTGATCTGGCATTGTTCATGTATTTTCATCTTGTCTGTGATGGATGAGTGAAAGGTTTTGGAAGGTTCTTCCAAAGTTCTTCATCCAACCCCTTTTCAAAACACGAATGTTCAAATATTAGGGATACCGATGCTGGTATCTTATCTGGCTTGTACTAATATGCATACCAAAGGGCCCAATACCGGCCAACTGATACCCACATTTTTAATTTAGATTAGCATCACGACATGATGATCTCCAAAGAGTCTGCAGCAAGAAAGCGCTTGCCGCTAGCTTAGTGGCAGCTTAGCTCAGCTGCTATAGCTTAGCCGCTAGCTTAGCGGCAAGTATAGTAGTTTTTTTAATGTAAACGAGTGACAAGTGTAAAGCGAACTGTACGTTGTGTAAGGCAAAAAAGTGTCATGAGGTGGGTCCAAAACAAACACGAATAACACCAGCAACTTGATCAAAACGCCTTTGCTAGGACTGGAGCACAAACATCCAACTCTACAACATAACATTTGTGTGAGTGGAATATGACAGTGGCTCTTATTGTTGACCGTTAAAACAATTGCTAAAATGTTTAAATGTTAAAATATATTTTTATTGTTGAAATGAGAAATAAAACAGTTTCAATTTCAGCAGTGTTAGTTTTACGAATTCCCAGGGATAACACAATGCAGTACTCGTATCGGTATTTGGTATCGGCATGGTATTGTACTCATATCGGTTTTGAAAAAAGTGGTATTGGTGCATCTCTATCAAAAGTTATTATGATCAATGGATGTTACAAAATAAACAGCTTGATTGATTAAAAAGAGGTGACCACAGTCATGCTGTGGTTCCTACAATACATACTAAAAAAAAATAGCTTTATTTTCTCAAACATGGACTGAAGCTTGACTCAAAACAGACTTGTCTCAAGTGACTTGTCTACACTGTGGATTTAATTGGACCATAGAAATGACTTGACCACTACATGGTCCCACAGCTCCGCACCGGCCTCCAAACAGCTGCTTTTCTTATGTGACTTACAGGCACACACAGTGTGTTGTGCTGCTGTTAAACTCTGTACTCTCAAGGACAAGCACTGTAGAGAAATTATGACTTCGATTCTACTGCTCATTGACTAAAGACGGATTCAATTAAAGCCCACTGAAGGTCATGAGGCAGTACAATGTAAGTTACACTGACATTTGAACTAATCCAACTTTTAATGACTGTTCAGGTGCAATGTCACTTTTCAGCTCGAGTTACCTTGTGTGTTTATACATTGATATCATTCCCATCCAGTTCTGCAATCCAAGCAGAGACACCCACACTTTCTTGTACTACACACTTCCACCAGCTCATCCGTGGGAATCCTAAGGCGTTCCCAGGCCAGCTGGAGAGAGGTTTCAGGCACCTCTCTCCAACGAGGTGCTTGAAACTGATGTCATGGCCACTTCAACTAGCTCCACTCAAAATGAACGAGCGCAACCCTCTCGTGAGGACCTCCCCGTTTCTAAAGACAGGAGTATTAAAACTGCTTGAACATTGTCCTATGGGTCATTAAATACCATAGGTGAGGGTAGGGATGTATAATAACCAGTAAATAGAGAGTCAAAAAGTAATATTGTATTCTTGGGTTTCATTAACCTGGCCTGTAAAGGTGGGACAGCTCAGTTTTGCTCCCATTGAAAACCATAAATCTTGTCTGTTTTGGAGTCAAAAGGCCCTCATCCTGTGGGGTGTAATGTTGTTGTAACAGTCTTAAACGCCAGGGGGACACTCAATTCTCAGGGAGTACTAAAAATATTTCTCAAATGAGTCTTGATTTCGGGCATTTTTTGAAAAAAAATAGAAGAAATTGCTGCGTTTCATTCGGGTGGCCTGCAGGGGGCGCTTATCTCGGAAAGCCTTGATCCACCTTCGCCTGCCTCATTCGAGTTATTTTTTCAAAATGTATTTCTTTATATGAAACCATAGTTGGAACACAGAAGAAACTGTTGTCTTTCTCTCTATTTGTGCGGTTGCTACAAGCGTACACCGCACAAAAAGATGGCATTTTGACTGAAGACTGCTAGCGCTTCTTCCACTTCTACTATATCTGACATGCTTGCAATACCACCCCGGGCCGATGGGGGTGGACCCAGAAGAAGAATTAGCCAATGCTAACATATAGCTTTGGCAGACCACTCGAAAACGTCTTCACAGGAAGGACCAAAAGTTGGCTCTTGGCCCAAAGCTCCGTTCCACATGTGTGTCAATGCTGAGGGGGGTGGATTTTTTTGGTCCACTCTAGTTTACTTGCTGTGAATTTCTGAAGTCTCTCGTTCAAATGAATGGAGCTGCTCCGGCTGACGCATGCGCAGATGCGTTTTTTCACCATTTTCTTGTGGGCGGGACCACTCACGGCCATTTTGGATTGCTCCAGTAGAGCACATTTTTTGGCCCATTAGTTAGAACGGCGGAGATAGGCGTGACTCTGTCCGTTAATATATACAGTCTATGGTATATACCCGGCAGACTGTACCGCCAGGGTCACGTCCGGTCCGGTCCGGTCCTGACCACGTATGTGCCGCTGCCCTGAAGTCATATGAAACCCAAGAATAGTTTAACATTACTCTAACTTGAGCAAAATGCTTGGTCTGCAATTTGGTTTCATACGATTTGATCATTCGTGGTTCATTTGTTTTTTCTCATAATTGTGGTCAGTCAAAAACAAACAGTACGGTATATACAACTTTTTCTGGCTAAATAGTTTAGTCCTTGCAATTACAGTCGATGTACTTGAAATGTTTTATGATTTCATAGACTACCACATCAGACCTCCACTTGAGTAACATTAAATTCAGTTCTTTGTGTGGGTGCAATAATACCACGATTACCAACTGAATCTAAGTGTCTCTGTACATTACACCAGATATCAGAAGAGTCTCCAAGCGCACATTACATTAGATCAAAAACTTGCAGGTGCATTCTATCACAATATTTGGAGAGTGCTTGTGAAATCATTCAGCCTTCCAGTTGTGAGTTAAAAATAGCTGCGTGCTGAAAACAGATAAAGATCACAGGGAGGAGGGGAGGGGGCGACATAGGTGAGGAGGTAGTAAAGTACACTGGGCGGGGGCAATGAGCTGATAAGGAAAAGACTGTAGACCAAGGAATTTGTCGAAGGAACTGAAAGGCAAAAAAAAGGGAGGAGCGCTGTGTTACACATGGGAAGTCTGCTAAAAAAGCACATGAGAACAGATAACTGGTTGAGTTGGTTAGAAGGGACATTTCCAACACGCCTTGCAGCTGGACGCACTTTTATAGAGAGCAAGACAGAAAGTTCAGAGTCCAAGGGAAAGAGAGAAAGGACGCCTCGCAGGCAACAAAAAGCTGTTGTCTACAGTGGTTAGAAGACTATTGAGGAAAGGGAAAAGGGAAGTTAAGAAGCAAGCACGGGCTGGGTGTGCTGCGTGTATATGTGCACGGCTGACACCAGCAAAACAAAGAAGAAACCAGGTCACTAGCCAGTCTGAACCTGTCCACGCTGTGCAACCAAAACAGTGAGAGAGGCGCAAAGGCAAACGGGGGCCACTTCTCAGCAATACCATGTTGATGAAAGAGTACCGGACATGCATGCCCCTGACAGTGGAGGAGGTAAGCCCACTGTGTTTGACTTGAGTGAACTATGATCGGAGCTTTTTGTAAAAGATTTGAATGGACTTCTGCCTTAAACAATAAGCTAGAAAAACGAAAAAAACTTGTCAATGATTAAATATCATTAAATAATATGGCTTAGTTACAATACAGAGATGATTAGCTGGGGTACCTTACTTTTAACCCTTTAAATGATTCATTTTGTTTGTCCCAACAGAAAGATCTGTAAGTAAGTAAAATGTTGTGACCAAATCGGACCACAATATGCTGTCTTTTTCTTATTAGTTTATAGTTACTATTTGACACTTTTCAGCTGAGAGGTGCTAAGTGGCGGGGTAGATGTCTTCCTCACTTTTCGCTATGAAAAAGCTGATCTAAAAGGTGTGACACAGGCTAAAAATAAATGCATGTTGAGATTTTTGATAGAATCAAACTGTTTTAAGAGCAGGGGATTTATTAGATTGATTCTATTACATAGTAATATTGTTTTGAAAGTTAGGTACCTCATTGTTAAGTCTGGATTATCTAGGTCTATTCTTCTAACTATTTAAGTAATAGAATAAAAGCTGCACAATAACACTACAATTCAAGTCTACTGCACAATATATATCTCTTCTCAAAATGACTTTAATTCATGTTTAAGTATTTCTCACACATAAGAGATAAAAGATAATTGAAGACATTTCTGACCAGTTGAAGATTTTGCTGGAACTTAAGAATTTAAGTATTTTACCATGGAAAAAAGTTAATAATGATATTGAAATTGTTGGAATCATCTCAAAAAGTTAAAAATGTCTAGGTTCATTAAGTCAATACAACTAAATCAGCCCAAAACTACTGAAACAAAAACAAATTGAACGGGATTAAAACAAAACAAACAAATCTACCTACAATTCAATATTAGAGACACTTGACCTGGGGGAGGGGTTGATAATATTTATTATTTGCATTAGATGTATCAGATAGAAAGTGAACAAATTGTGAAAACCTACCTAATAAATACCAATTAAAATGTGGGTTGTATAATAACGCACAGCAAAAAAAGGACATTACAACATATTTAATTGAATTAGTGACCCTCTATATTTCTAACAATATGATAACAGATGTAATAATTGTAAAGGTCAATGTGTACACAAAGCATTTCAAAGTGCAGATTCCAAGTGGGAAAGTGTTTATCATATTTCTATTTCAAGTTCAATGCAATATTTTGAAGACATTTCATACTTGCTCAAAAGGCAAATCGACTAACTATCCACTGCACTCATCACCTTATTCTGTGCATCTCCAAAAGAATAGCATCAAATAAAACAAATTGACTACGACGGTCGCTCATACAGATCTTACGGCTCTCGTGTGAAAGACTAAAGCGGGCTGTAATCCTGAGCGTGTTAATGTGGCGATGAGAGGTGCTGGTCTCCTATGGCTGCGCTGTGGGATCTGGCACCACGGGCGGCAGCTATGTTCAACGCGCAACACCTGGACTGCAGCGCCGCGCAGCCAAATTATCTCTCCATCTGTCCATTTCGGCGCTCACCGCTTCAGCATGGGCCTCGCCAACTGGCCGGACTGGTTTTTTGTGCTTTCCCCAGTTCAAACAAAGCAGCTTAAAAGAGAGAAACAGTGTAAACATAGAGGCACATGTTGTCCTTCAAAGTGGCATGTCCAAGGCCGCCCCCAATTCTACCCGTTACCACGATAATGACAGTGACAAATGGTGGTCCCATAAAAAGGGCTATTGGTGCAGAACACAGGAAAAAGGCCTGAATCTAATGTAAGAGAAGTATAATAAGGGAGAATGTGTAGTGTAGCTGTATAAGTGAAACTCTTTACTCGCTTAAACGCCACAGTAAAACGGGAAACGCAATAAAGTAAAATTTAAATTGTTGTCATTGATAGAGCGAGAGGTATTATTTTCCTAATTTACTTTTAACTTGCCTTGGAAATTACTGCAGCTGCTTGGGGCAAACAAAATCCCCTATGATCACATTCTGTAATCTGAGGCATCACAAAGGTGTAAGCGTTTCCCAGAACACACATTGACGCTGCCTGCTATTTATGACTGGCATCAACCCAACACATTTCAAGCCAAGCTTAATAATATAATAACATAACATCAAATATATAAAAACAGCAATTGGAATCATCATTTACAAGCTCACATTTCTTTTAAATATAATTCAGAGCCATTCTAAAATAAATGGCAAAAGGAAGAATATTTGAAAGTGTTCATGAACCTATTATTCTCTATAAAAAATCTTGACATTACAGTAGTGTGACAAAAGCCAGACTTTGTGAAGTTGTGATGTCCTATTTTGGGAGGATCAGCCACATTTTAGTCGCAGATAGTGGCTGGTGCCTTGGTTGACACAGCAGCTTTCTAGTTTCAGCTTTTAAGATTTAATCATTGTAAAAATAGAAATTTCTTTGAAGCGCTTTTCAGTTTTAATCAAACATCTTTCATTGCCAGTACTGTCAGACAGTGTGCTGTGCTCCACCCCATACACACACATAAAAGATAAAAACACATGACAATACAGCATCAGCCAGAGCAGCGCCCAGGATTTAACACTGTTAGAATTCTTCAGTGAGGCTCTCTGTGGGAGCAGCACTCGCCTGTTAGCCGTGGGACATGTAAAAGCATCCATTGTGATGATTCATTAAGTCCCATGAATATCCAATAAGCAAACAGGGAATGTTGACATTCTGCAGTAATTGGAAGAAGAGGCAGTGTCCCTTGGATGTGCAGAGAGCCCAGTGAAAGATGGAAACACTCATGCAACACTTCTCTGATCTGCTTTTAATAAGAAGAATGTTTTAGCCGCACGCTAATGTAGGTCAGCAAAACGAATTACAGTATAATGGTCGCTGCACTCTATTTGTGCAAGCTTCATAGGAAAACAAAGCTTCTACAGAGTTTAGGACAAAAGTTAACTTTACTGCAACTGAACCAAAGTGGTAATGGTTGGTGTATTGTGTACCGTGAAGTGAGAGCAGCCAGCCGCTGTCCAGAGGCCTCTTTAGCTCTAACAGAAGTGCTCATCAGCAGCAGCCCAAACTAGGACTGCAGCAGAGAACAAAGTCCCTCCCCTTCGTTTAGACCAGTACATTCACTCACAGCAGCCAATTTACATTTCCGTGTCTGATTTGGGGTAAATTCATTCCATATACACAAAGTGAGTATAAAGAGCAAATACATTGCTGTGGCTAAGTAACACACAAACCCAGGACTCAGCAACTGTGACCAGCTGCCAGCAGCCTGGTGTCATCACTCTGCCATGAGAGCTCCATTTAATCCAATATGCCACAGAGTTATTGATGGACTATGATTGGATTATCAAAAGTACTCTGCTACAAAAAATAAAAGTGGTGCAGAGTTTGTCTTTGAGGCGTGTTTACACGTTTGACCAATGCTCAGCAGATCTTTGTCACTGAAGTGTTCTGTTTGCTTCATGGACAGTACCAAATTGGCCAGCTCTACATGATCAGTAAGCACAGCAGTGAGCAGAGTGGAGGAGGAGAAGGCATCGAGGTGGTGAAGAATGAGCCAGAGGTGCACCCCAAGTACGGCCAGGGCCAGCTGACAGAGAAGAGGATCTACCTCAACAGGTTTGGCTCCATATCTGATCACGTTTGATCTTTGATCTTACTCATCACCGAGAGCCATAAAGACAGTTCGACTAGCATGACACTCACATCAGAGCCCAAAGTCCAGCTGCCCTCTGCCTCGCCATATCCCTCCAGGGCAGCACTCACTCATGACCATTGTTTTGTTTTGAAAGGTAATTGGCCAAAAACATGCAGGAGCTTTGAGTCTCAGAGTGTCAGGTGGGAAAAACATGTTTGTCATCCTGTGGTTGCTGATTACAGACTACTGTATGTGGGATGGTGCTCCCTGCTAGTTTGCCAAATATACACTGTTCTCCAACTGTATAGTGGAACTACTAAAATTATTAAACCATTATAAAAGGTATAGACAGTTTTACAACATCTCTAATATTTAAAACAAAAAATACTGGCAAAAACTAGCATGGAAAAAACCCTGGCTACCCTGGCTTATGAATGTAATTTGATCATGTGCCGTTTGTGTGTACCCCTGGTTTCCCTTCACTGTGGGAACTTTCTTACACTGTTATTAAAACTCTTTGGTTGGATAGTTTTAAGAAACTAAAGGGATTCTTTTTACAAGAAATAATCATTCTAATAATAACCTTTACTGGTGTTCAATAGGCTGCTAAAACCCAAGGCTTAATCCTTAAATAAACTGTGTGAGAAGTAAAGAAATGTCCCCACTTTGGAGGCTTGTCCTAATCTCTCATTGCTTTGGGACATTGGGCTCTCATTAGTAAAAATACACACAGTCACACCAAATACACAACTACACATTTAAGTGAAGTGAGCGCACAATGCATTTTCCTTCAATCATGTTCCGACATGTGACCTCCACACTGCGCTAACAATTCATCACCACAGGTGTAATTGGAAATGAGTCATAGAGTCTGAGTAGCCTACAGGTAATCGGGCTATAAATGGCACCAAAAGCACTTAGGATCTCTTTGTCTGCGGTACTGTATAATCATCCATACTCCACTGCTCCTGTGTGTTCCAGTAAACTGCCAGGATGGGTCAAAGCATTTGTGCCACGCTTTTTTTATATAACAGAGAAGGCCTGGAACTTCTACCCCTACACATTGACAGGTACAGACTCACGATGGCTTTAGTAGTTCTCTGCATTATACATCATAATAACGCCATAATAACGTGGTCAGGCATTGGTATGAAATATCTTCACACTCTTGACCTCCAGGTTCCTGCACCAGGTTTGCTTGTTAATGCCTGTCAGTAACTGATGCCCTTGTTAGCATGTTTGGTTCACTGCAGCTGAATTTCACATCTATGAATAAGACAATGTGTAACACCTGTTACTGTGAAATCAAACATTTATATGCATGTATAACATCCCCAGTGGAATACCTGTGCTTGCAGTTTAGAGTAAGAATCCCAGCATGCTCTTACATGTATGAGTAACTCTGCTTCATTCTCTCCATATGGAACGGGCTTCTGCTGCTGCTGCTGCTGCAGAGTACTCAGTAAGTATCACACATCTCTCACTGTACAAGAATACAGTGTCTGTAGTATCCATGAATCTAATCTGCCCTCAGCCCAGCATTTAAACCTATTGTTGCCCGTCAGGTATCATTCCTCCCCAAGTTCAGCATCCGCATTGAGACCAGATTTGAGAACAACAAAGGCGATAACGACAATGTGAGTATGACTGAGAGCTGCTGCATTAAGTGACAGAGGAGCAGGAACAGAGAGGGAGGGGCCCGGGCAGCCAGGGACACTTCACAATTTTATCTAAGGCATGATAAATAGAAATGTTCATCAAGGGAAACAAGCAGTGAGCAAAATGTAGTATTGGCAAATCTTTTAGGCAGACATGCAGTGTGGTGCACACCACTGCCATGCTGCAGAGCTGGGCGCACAAGTGTGACTTGTGTCATCAAGAAAAGTGGCTGTCCAAACATGTAAGAGTGTAGAAGTAAATGTGGCCAGGCCGGTTCCATGTCAACAGTACATATGAGTTACACAAGTTTAAACTAAATTAAACTATTCTTATTTTTATTATCTCTTTTTGACTGTTGCACTGAGCCAAAGCAATTTCCTAGTCTGTGACCTCCTGTTACTTACGTGGCAATAAAAATGATTCTGATTCTGATAAAACAAGCCCACATTGTTGAGGCTGATGATGTACAGACAATAGTATATACTGTACTCTCTCTGCAGTCATGACAATACAAACATAAACAACAGAGTTGCAGCACGATGCAATCACAAAAGCCAGCATGTTTCTCTTCATGCACCATGTACACAGCTGGTGAAACATATTCTATAAGACAGAACGGGACGCATTGTGAGCATGGCAGGTTATTTTCTACCAGCTGCACTTTGTTTCTTTTCAATGAACTGCTTCAGCAGGGCTTTACAACTTCTACTAAACAAGGTCAAACTAAAGTGTTACAGCGTTGTGCCCTTTCTCCTCCTCACACAGCCTTTAAAGAAAAGTGCAAGCTACTATTTTATTTCACAGTTGCTTTTACCCCGCTTTCTTGCTTTAATTCCGCTGCTGTCCCTGTTGTCTCTTCTGTGTGCTGGTCTATTTGCGCCAGTGTGGTTTGCTGCGAGGCCCCAAGGCTGGCTGTGGTGGTGGCTGTTATGGTGTGTGACCCCACTTCTGTACTCTCTTACTCATCTTGTTGTGAGGGACTGGAGTGTATGTGTGTGTTTGCTCAGCCTGTGCCGGATCACCTACCTCCATCTGTCCTGCAGGTGTTTGGGGACAAGCCCACTCCACCTGAGAGTGTCACATTCCTGGACATCGTCAGCGACCCCATCCCACAGAAGCACTACAAAGAAGCAGAGGTATGGTGAAAATGCTGTATGCATGAAGGGTGTTTTCACTAGTTTATTATGATTGTCTTATCTTCACTTTTAGTGTAATGACACTTGTTTTGAACATAACTAAATTCACACCAATAAAGCTACAGGTTGTGAAAAGAAGTTGAAACATTTTCCTGGCGGAGAGGTCACATCACATCCTAAATGTGGTCAGAATAAGAACATTCAAAAAGATTGCTATTTTGTTTTTTGCAGCAAGGATCTTTCCTCTTGACGTGTAACTATGTGTTACACAACTCAGGTCTGACTAAAAGTATTCAATAAGAAAATATATTTAAAAAAACACTTAATTCAAGTGTTTAAACATAATGTTTTAGTTAATCTGTTTTGAGGATTCACTGCAGTGAGAAAGAAATGGCTAGAACTGGTAAGGTCAGAAATATTACAATGTTAAAAATGAAGTGTCTAGTGACTTCACAAGGGTCATTCATAGTTTTATTAATGCAATGCCGATCCAATGAAAATATTCTTTTACTGGTCAACCCTAACCCTCTCTGTAGATGAGGGTTGCAAACAGTTTAGAAATGATAAATTATAAATAAAGTATTTGCATTTGTGGTAGTAAAAGTGTTTAAGGGTTTAAGTCTATTCTCTAATTTCAACGTCAAAATAATTGTAGATTTAATCACACACACAATATTGAATTAACTGCTCTTCTATGTTTTTCATTATGCATTTTAGCAATAATACAACATCTCAAGAAAGCATTTTAAATGATTAAAATTCATGTTAACTATAATAATGGCTCAACACTTATTAACAGAGTATTTTTAAAAGCCCTGCACTCATTTTCTTCCATTGGCAAAATGAGTTAGTTGTAGATTCTCAAAGCAGCTCTTAATATTCCAAAGAGATTAAAACGATTAACAAAATCTACTTTTGATAATAGTGTTTTGTACAAATATGTATATCTATTTTTTTTAACAGCCACAAGAACATGGCAGGTTGCACTAAAACGCAGGAAAATGATTATTTACAAAAGGAGTAATTGCATATGCAGCAAAGCCGCCTTTCCCCTGAAACACTGGAGGGACGTGTTATCTTCTGTGCAGAATTGAAAGCAAACAGCCACTTTAATCTGAAGTACCGCGTTGATCAAATATAGAGCGAGAAGCATTGACTTTACCCACAGTGCACACAGAGGCAATGCCGACTCAGCACCCCTGTAAATATGTATGTAGGGTGACCACCTGAAAAAGTCCAACAATCAGACAATGTGCAATGTGGAAAAAACTGAATCTTATGAATAATGAATGATATCAAACTAAAATCAAGTTCAAGAGTCAGTCATTTCTAATTGTCTACGGTCAGCTCTTTTCATTGCAGTGGTTCACAGTTGAGGCATGTGATTCATATAGAGCAGAGTTCAAACTTTAGTTGAAGAAATTGAATGTTTTGTTTTTTTAATGCGATTAAAAGTCTATAATATTCATGTCCATAGATGAATATGAAAAATTATGAAAACCAATTATAACAATAAGTTTGTATTTAGGCCTAAGTTAACTCCCTATTGACTGTTCTATTTTTGAGGTAAATACAGTGAGACAGGTAAATAACTGAACTTCTCTGGTTAATTGTTGGTTCTGTCTGCTAATGATTTACTGCAGCTCAGGTTATTTCGCTTAGAATACATTTTTTTCTGAGATTTTACTTTTTAAGTGGTGTCGTTGTTACTGTTTATACTATTTGTCTGTGCTTAAAGTGTCAACGAGAGTGTGCAGAAAATATGCAATACAATTTTCTCAACTAGAGCTCTATTTGTTTGTGTGTTTTCTCCATCATTCCAAATGTTATGGGAGGATTTGGACAAAATTTCAAGGAAACCACAATGAACACATGATTGGATCCACTGTCTGAATTTAAGCCGTTTTAAAGTAACCTCTTGCTACCCCCAGATAATTGAATTTGTTGTAAAATAGAATGCTTCATATGTATGTGGTCCTGTGCATTGCTAAACCAAAACAGCCATTGAGATCATTATATCATGCACTTGAATCCATTCGTGTACTTAGTTAGACTCTGATGACATTTGTTTTTGATTGTGGCACAGCAGCATGTTGTATACGGCACTAATGTTGCAACTGAACATTTGTCATTCGGCCAACTACAGGTGTGAATCATTATGAACATGACAGTATGGATCCCTAAATTATCAGGATCACCTTCAATATATTCCATGTGGCACAAATGACAAAAAATGGGACATGGGACATTGGTACACTAACTAAAGAAGAGACATGCATTAATGTGTCCATACACCGTGTTCTGTGCAGGACCTGAGTCTGTGGCGGTCCAGTAAAACGGGTCGTGGTCCTCTGGAGGAGGGCTGGAGGCTCCAGCAGCAGCCCATCATGTGCTCTTACAAACGGGTTCACTGCAGCTTCGAAGTCTACGGCTTCCAGACCAAAACAGAGGAGTTCATCCACCGAGTGAGTCCTGGCCACAGTCACATTCTGAGCATACAGTGTACTGGGTATCCTAAAGAGGTGTTAGGATTTAACAGACAGAGACGGATCGTGGTGTGCCAAACTCTGGAAGTTTATTTAAGTTTCTCTGAAGTTCCACTAGTTTCCTCTGTTTCTTTCTCTCAGACAGAATAAAGGCAGTACACAGTTTATATAGTCATTGTCACGTCACACATCGAAAGACATACGTGTCACAAAGAGACAGTCAAATCATAGTCATAACATGGAGTCCTTGTAGAGTCCTGCACGTAGGCCATATTGCTATCTAATACTAACACCCTCCCCTTTGATCACATAATCACATGTGATCACTCAATTTGATCAATCAATAAAGTGGAAAAAGAAAAAAAAAAAAATTCCAAAAAAAAACTTTAAAAAATTATTAAAAACAAAGAAAATGTATGCATTACTCATAATCATCAAATCAATATCAGTGGATTTTATCCTCTATCCTGGGAAAAAACAAACAAACAAAAACAAATCAAAAATAAAAACAAAGAATCATGAGTATCTGTCTCATTTAGCACTCATCAATGTATGATTTCAAAAATATAAACATCACTCCCCAGTTTTTCTCTCAGGTCCTCAGGTCCTCAGGGTCCCCTGAGGGTGAGTCTCAGTCGTCATCAGGTCAGGTCATCTTGGACATCAGTAGGGTCCAAGCCATGGTTCTGGTTCTGGTCTCCAGATGCACATCAGATCTCCAGATACAGTCTTTTCAGTTGAAGCACATCAGGTCATTTGCGATGCACTTCTGGTCAATGGTGCAGTCTCACAGTTCCTGTACACAGCTTGTAATGCAGTAGTTACTCTCTATGGTTAAGACATTTTAATTCTACTTTAACACAATTTCTATTCATGCTGTTGCTAACGTCCCTCAGACAAAAAACAAGCGCAATTTCAGTTTACTTCTCTAATTTGTGTTTTTACCAGATCTAATTCTCATCAATGTAATTACTTCACACAGTACAAAATCAACAAATCAAAAGTGTCAGGACAGACGTCAATTAATTCCATGACAATATAGAATTCAAATGAACATTTCTGGTCTCAAAAAATACTGATTCAAATAAAGATTCAAGTGATAGACAATTAAAAATATGTGTTTACATTGGAGTAAACTTTTAAAATGCTTTTTTCCTCATGTTCTACTTTTTCATGTATCTATATGTAAATGTGAATGTGTGAGTGTATGAATGTATGTGTGTGTATGTGTGTGTATGTGAATTTTGGGGTTGTCTCTCCACACTCCACGAACCACCTGTAGGTCTCAAAGGTCACACTGTGGTGATGCAAACCACGTAGACACACTTTCAACTCCCTCTAGGTCTCTACCTTACGCTCCACCCATCACGTCTCCAGATACCTCTCTTTCATGGCCCCGGTCTCTCTCACACCCACTCAGTTCTGCAGTGGCGTGGGGAGGGGCAAGGAGGTGGCATTTCCCTTTGCTCTTTGATCTGTGACCTGTGGCTGGGTGGGCTTTGCTGTCCAGTGTCCACTCCAGCAGTCCAGTGACCCTGTACAGTGTGTGTCCTGGAACACAACCTTATAGTCAAATTAAAAACAACAGAGATTGTGAATGAGATTGTTTTTCTCTCTGAAGTCTAAACAATTTTGAAGCGCTCTTGGCTTTCCCAAGCGCTATGTAAATAAAAATTACTTATTCTCTTACTAATGATGACATTTTAAAACCAGAAACTAAAGAAGTTATCAAAACAACAATTATACTCAAAACAAACAACCTTTTAAACTTTAAAACATGTATTATATACTTTTGTACTGTGTGATTAATTATCTATGCATTTATCTCAGCATATATTTTACTAATTTAAAATAATTGCAGCATTTTTCAAATGAAGTCAGTATGAATTGGAGCACATTTTAGACCAGTCTCCTCTGCTGTGGCATCAGCAGGAGCAACAAGGTCAGGCGTGTAGTCAAAACAAAAACAAAAGTCACCACTTGCAAGGTGAATTGGGTAGTTTAACTTAATAATACTTTTACAGCCTAATTCCCTCTTTCTTTTTTAGACGAAGTCTACAATCATTAATCACTTTTAACAGATTCTAATTTAAATGTTTGAAAAACGGCTTTTGTAACTAAAATAAAAAATACATGAAAAAATTCTCACAAACAGCTATGAAATATATCAGAGATACAATAATGGACTCACAAAATAAGCAGCAGATTTAAAAAGAAAAGCAAAGCTTTTTGTACTAATCTTTGGGTTTCAAAAACATACTAATTCAAAACTTCTATTTCCTAATGGTGTTTAAAAACGTTTAACTGTGTCTAACACAATGTTCAAATGGCAAATTTAGCAAATTTAACGGAATAAAAACTATGAAAAGCCAAATTCCTAAAGCAGTAGCTCCCCTTTAAATCAGAGCAGCAGCTCAGCAGCAGCGAGGGCGGGGGGGTTCCTTTCACACAGACGCGCACACACAGGCAGAAAGACACAGAAGAAGAACTTTCAAGATTAATTTTTTAAGCGAATATAACTTATGTTGTTCTTTATACTTTTGTCATCCAAGTCTAGAATTGATCACATTCCACACTTGTAACAAAAGGCACTCTTGTCTTTAACGTTTACGCTTCTATTTTATCGAGGTAGCAAACTAATTTAAACTTAAAATCTCTTTCTAAAAAACAAAAACAACTGTTGGATACAACCCTCTCATAGCTCAACTGTAGATAAAACTCGGCAAAAAATGTAAATAACTCACGAAAGCTCTCATAGCTCAACTTTAGATAAAACTCTGCATTCTCCGGTGAACTCTGTTCACTCCAAAAAACAAAAACTCCCTTTTCTGTATGTAATTTAAACCGTGATCACTGAAATATTGTTGCTTATGTACTTTTGTCATTTATCAGCCTGAAATTCGTCAATTTCAAAGCTTTTGTAACAAAGGCCTCCTTAACACGTTTCCCTTTTTAAAAATTGCTTTTACTTTTATACCATGGTTTTACTAAGGGACTCTAACCCTGAAGCTTCTTCTCAAAGGGACTTTAACCCCGAGGCTCAAAGGGACTTTAACCCCGAGGCTTTTCTCAAAGGGACTTTAACCCCGAGGCTCAAAGGGACTTTAACCCCGAGACTTTTCTCAAAGGGACTTTAACCCCGAGGCTCAAAGGGACTTTAACCCCGAGACTTTTCTCAAAGGGACTTTAACCCCGAGGCTCAAAGGGACTTTAACCCCCGAGACTTTCTCAAAGGGACTTTAACCCCGAGGCTCAAAGGGACTTTAACCCCGAGACTTTCTCAAAGGGACTTTAACCCCGAGGCTCAAAGGGACTTTAACCCCGAGACTTTTCTCAAAGGGACTTTAACCCCGAGGCTCAAAGGGACTTTAACCCCGAGACTTTTCTCAAAGGGACTTTAACCCCGAGGCTCAAAGGGACTTTAACCCCCGAGACTTTCTCAAAGGGACTTTAACCCCGAGGCTCAAAGGGACTTTAACCCCGAGACTTCTTCAAAATACAATTTAGAGAGTTTGACAGACCCCAAAAAACATACCAAAATTTAGCTAATATCCAATTATGCAGACTTTACATATAAAAAGGTGTCTGCTTACCTTATTCTTGTCAAACCGGTTCCAAGGACTGTCCGAGAGGTCTGCCAACCTCTTTTCCGCGTCGGAATATTCAATTTAAAAAACAAAACAGAGAAAGTGAGGGAGCAAGAGCAAGCCCATCCAAAAGCGAGCCCTTTCAGCGTCCGCTGGGATTTCTCCCCTTCCAGATAACGTGCTGTTGCTCCCACACGCCGAAAAAAAGAAACAGAGAAAACTCCTGTTGTAGAAATATATACCCCATCGAAGGAGAAAACTCAAAAGGTCTTTGTCTGATCAAAAGCGTAAGTTTATTGTTAACGCACAGTGCGGAGAGGCAGAGGACACACACAAGGCAGCATGTCGTCAGCTCTGGGGGCCAGAGCCCCGAGCTTCCTGTATACATAGACACACATGAGAGACAGTCACGCCCACAACCGATTGGAGGGGGCCACCGGTGAGGAGGCGCATAGGAAAACGCAGGCGCCATGTCCCTGTGGTGAGGCATTCAGACACAGGGCATGGAGATGTGAACAGACAGCAGGAAGTAGCAAGTACACACATACAGACCGATACATATGCAGGAGGTGAAAGGGGGCAAGAGTGATCGCCATTGTCTGTAGGTGTCGGGAGGGCCCTGCTCCTTCCTGGAGCAAGGACATATGGATAGGAGCAGGAAGACACAAGGGTGTGACAGACAGCAGGGACCTTCACAAAGCTCAGCATGGCGTCAGAAGGTAGTCTCTGCATTAAAAAGACCTTTTACGTCCGTGTATTTGCTGCGGCTGGTTTTAATGTGATTACTCTAAAGGCTGTCATAACACTCCCTTCTTCTGATAATTCAAAACCATTTTTGCATTAATCAGTTAAATACCAAAGGCATCGTAATCACATCACCTTCAAGCTTGAAACACTTAAATTATTGCTGTCCATAGCGGACAAGAAAAGAAACATGCTTGTCAATAAAAGAGAGAGCACATTATAATAACACAATGGATCCGGACAGCGATAAGAGAAGACAATATTAGCATAATAAACACGGTCATCACGGAAAGTAGTGTCAGTGTGGCCAGCATAACAGTCCAAGGGCCCATGCCGGTCTACGTTCGGTAGTCTTTTCCGCGGGAATACTCACGAGCAGTGCCGTCTCGCAGTCAGTGGCACCGCTCCCTATGGGCGTGTGTGGAGCGTTAGTGGTCATGGCGATGTTTGGTCTTGGAGCGGCAAGACTCTATTTGCGTTGAAGCCTTGGCCTCAGCGCTCGGTCGGGCAGGGTGCTCGGGGTTTGGGGTGTGGAGACCATGGCTTGAGCACGCTCCAGATCGGCCAGGCCCAAAGCTCATTTGATGGGAGACCTCATGACAGCACGCTTCACCATGTGCCTCATCAGGAACTGTAGAGCAGCTCTGA